TATATTGTATGTACCACTTATAAGCAATGTAAGTTCATATTATACCAGTAATTAATAGTTTGCAATGTATTTCCTATCAAATAAGGTCAGAAAAGCTTATGCTGAACTTTTCAAGAAAAAGCTAGCTAATTGGTCACTGACACAAAGCAAAGTCAGTTTCTATCTGCAAGATTCTTTTTATGATATTTGTGATTAGGCTAGTGAAGATTCTAAAAAGAAGTCCACTGAAGACAACTTGGGAAGTAAGGATGGTATGACACAGCATGAATCATGATATTATTATATGATTCTTTAATAGTGAACACAATTGATAATGGGCTTGATGCAGAAAAAAGCAAATCAATGGCATAACTTTATTAACAGCATCATGTCATTAATATTATAGCACTGTTAGCATTGATTGTCTGTGTATTTTATATATTTATCATTGTCAAATAATGTCTTAGTGTTTACTACTTGTTCAAACTTGTTAAGAACATGCTTATTCATTAAAAATGCAGTAAAAATGAAGAATTCTCTCATAGCCATTTTAAAATAATTTGGCCATGGATTTGGCCTGATTTTTGGGGAATTAATTCAAACTTGCTATACAACAAAAAGTGTGTATGATATGTATCAGAAAAAAATTAAAAAATAAATTTTCTACTAGTAATTTTTAATAAAATTTGGCCAACAACCCTGTACTAGACTTTTGCCCAATTTTGGAGCAACTTTTAAAATTTGGAAAAAATCTGATTTTGATCAAAATCAGCTCAACAACTTGCTACACATTATAAGAACATGTATACATTATCAGAAAAAATTATAAAAATAAAAATTTCTTTCCTAGTCACTTTGGCAAAATTTGGCCAAAGTCCCTGTATCATAGTACAGAGAGTTTTGCTTAATTTTGGAGCAACTTTAAAAATTTATTAAATAAATATGATTGGAATTAGCTTAAACTTAGTCTTGCAAGCCAGACCATTCCCCAGCTTACTAGCTCAAACTTGCTATACAATAGAAGAACATGCATATGTATTAAATTTTCTTTTAATGAAAGTTACCATTACATATTGCTTTTAACTGGCTGACATTATTTTTGCAATAAACATGTTTTGATAGCTACAGGTTACTATAACAAATAACAGACTATAGCATAATAATGATATTAGCCACTGTCTACTATACGTATCTTTTGTGTATGCACTTGTGGTACTACTTGCTCTAGCTGTACGTCTCATTGCCAAATATACCATTAATATCAATGCAGCACATGTTAATGTGAAATGGAAATTGAAGCCGTATAGTCTAGTACTGCGTTTATACTAGCCTCT